CAGTTAGGGTTAATGAAAATTGTTACATAAGTTGATTATTCCTTTCTTTTAAACTGCTTCATGGTATAAGAGAAATTTTTCTGATACTGGTTACTGTCACATGCTCTCCAATAACAGGTGCTGACCAAAGCATCTCCCATTTTATTTCCAATGTTTACCTTCCAATTTGTATTACAAAGTGGCCTTTAGAGTCATTCATTACAACATGGACATCTTATTATTGTTCACAAAAGCAATGGTTGGAAGGAAAGAGGAGGAATTTAACAGTAGCACAGTGAAAGTGTAAGAGAAAATGACTGGTCATGCAGTGGGCCAGAATGAAATCAGAATTGAATTGGGTGGTGAGGGAGACTTTAGTCTTGCTCATTTTCCACGTGTCATTCACACAGCAACACTCTGATGCAGATATCTTCGTCTACATCCATCCACTCATCCAACTGCTTCAACAGTGTTATCTGCAAGATTTTCTAACATAAGTGGGGAATTGGACATTTCCTCCCTATCACCATGATCCCCTTTGTCACAATCCCCATGGTCAACAGGCATTGATGGAACATTGCCATTTCTTTGTTCACCATCCTTGGAACTGTCTACATCCATGGCCTTATCAACATCAGAAATTTCATTTTCACTTGACATGTCAGACTCTGCGTCTTTGCCAAATCGTCCTGCATCAAATCCACGAGTGCAGTGTCATCGGGCCCTCTTAGACCAAGCATTCTAGAGTCATGTAGAGTTTTCAATAAGCTGGTTTGCTTCACAAGAAGACCACACCTTATCACATCTTTCCACGTCAGAAGTGAACACCAGCCAAAATCAGCAAATTTATTCCAAGTCTTCTTCAAAATATCATTCTTTTTGTTGTAAAAATGCATAAGCAAAGGTCATCTAGCAAAACTTCAGCAAACGACGGTGACAGTTTAGTCCGAGAGTTTAGGACGTGTCACGACTTTATCAGAAACTGTTGTTGTTCCTGTAATTTGTACATGCGAAGTGATCACGTGATGCAACACTAACCAATCGCAGTTGAGAATTTGCTAGATTGTCACTAGCCCTAGCAACCAGCCCATGCTTGTTTACCCTTGAAGGGCTTTGAAAATCACCCTATAACTTGTTTATTCATGATGATACTGAGGTTAATATGCTCTCAGTGGATTCTGGAAGACTTGACCTTTCAGATGATACCACATTTTGTGCAGGGGGATCACCCAGAAAGGAAAACAGGTTCTTGCAAAAATCAGCCTTTCTCTCGTGTTTCTTGTAACAAGTTGTCATAATGTTGAGATGGACAATCCAGGAAAACAACGAAAAAACATTTTAGACTTTGAATTCAGCAATGTAAATTTGCCATATGATTGATAAGGGTCTTTTGCATGAAAAAATTTTAAAATCTCAAAATCGATCTCCAACTGGAAAAATGAACATTTCCGGCCATAGCGCATTTTCTGTGTGTGCGACTTTCTGTACATTTTGTTGTGCACAAATACAAGTACATAAGAACCCATTCTATTGGTCAGACATACAGTAGTGAACATATGGATAAAATCTAGTCATTAGGATGAATATCACAAGACACAAGTACATTTATGTGACTTTGGAGGCATATGTATGGGTCCAATAAATGTAGAACAAATGCCAGGTTCACAACGAATACTGTTAAATCCAGTCACAATAATGAATGCCATTTAAATGACATGAATGGTCACATGCAAATGTTTGAGTGTTATGCCATTGGTTTAACAATAATTGCAAATGATGGACAAAATCTTTTCATTATGAATGCTAATAACACAACCACAGAAGTAATATCAGTTCATCAAACACATTGTTTCATCATTTGCATGGATAATTGGTTTATACATGTACACAGGAAATCAATGAACTCTCATACTTGCTTGTTCAGTTGTTGTCATTCATAGGTGGAAATGAGAGGTTTGAATAAATTTTGGGCCAATGCAAAACACTGTGGATTTGCAAGATGTCCTGAGCAGTTGTGAAATTTTGTAAACAAACATTAATGCCTGTACCCATGTACTCATATTCATAGACACTTCAATTTAATCAGGACTGTACTTTTAAATTTAGTTGGATCGCATGTTTTAGCTAGGCTTTATGTGCAGTCTTTCTAATACTAAAGTAAGAGCACCTGGAATTTCGTGGATATTTAAATCAAATGGCCCAGATAACATTGTCTCATTGAATGATTACATAATTCTTTTCAGGGGTCCATAACACTAGAGCAGTGCTCTGAGCCATTTGAATACTTTTGTGTAAGCAAAGGCATGTCTTGTATTACATTTTGCCTTTCTTGTAGCATGGGCAAAAGATCAGTTTGAGTCATCAGAAACGGGGGAGGCACACTAGACCATTAACATTTTAAATCATGGAAAGGTCTAATATCTGTTCAACCGAGACACTGAGGTTACACTTTGATAATGAACATAAATTGCTATGATCAGTGGGTGTACGTTTTTTTTTTCAAGTTTATGCATTTTGCATGAATGGTTCTAGACTTTTGCAAATGACTGTATGAACTCTAAATTGTAACTTTGTGTCATATATGCTTTTGTGTAAATTTGCCCCAATGAAAATAGTGACTTTGTGATCATAGTGAAAAAATGAATTTGGTTTTAATTTATTTACTCAGATGGTGAACAGCAGGCAGAAGAATTTGACTATGGAACAGGATTGCCAAAAAAAATTGGTGCTAAGAAGGCACGCAAGCTAGAAATGAAAGCGGAAAAGCAGGCACAAAGAGAGGTATGTTTGAGCTGTGTGCATGAATGTATACTGTATACATGTAGATGACAATTGATGTGATGTGATAATGACATCATCAGGTGACAGGTGACATTAAAGGTGCATCCTTTAAAGCCCTGTATCTCCTGAAGTACATATCTGATCTGGTTGAGATGTTGCAGATATCTAAAAGGGGTGTGTTCTAGACGAAAATTGACCTTATGTAATGATGACATCACCAGTTGACAAGTCAGGTGACATTAAATGTGCATCCTTTTTATACATCAGAGCTTGTCTCAATCTTCTTCCATTCTGCATTTTTTCAACTACCTTCATCTCCATATTTACACGAATTTCTGGCTTTACAAGACTTATAAAGGGTGTCCACATAAAAAGTGTACAGAGATAAAAATAATTGTAATAGCAAAACTACTTTATATATGGGAAAGAGAAAAATATCTCTAAAAAGGGCAGAATGCCCTCTTTGCAGTGGTATACAGCTTGTGATGGTATTGACACAGATGAGTGAACAAACTAGACCGGTGTTAAGGGTACTGAAATCGGCACTGTGACAAGTTTGCATATGCGATTAAAAAGGCGAGACCATGCATTTTATTGATTTAGCAATCTTTGATTGTCTTCAAAGTTTAATACACCAATGAAAAGCAAAGATAATACTGAAATAATTACGTCATGATGATGTTATCAGGTGATATATTATTAAATTTTGAATATTTAATATGAGGTTAAATTTTAAAAAATCCATAAACAAAACTGTAAAATCAACCCTGGCTTCCTGCAACATTCTGTTTGTTGGAAGTGCCAGAGTAAAATTTTGTCTTCAATTCATCTTGTGTGGATCCAATCATGTAACCCTTCCTTCTGGCCAAAACTGGAACTGGGCTTATTGTTTAAAAGTGGTAGTATGTATCAACTTGCTTTCAAGGGTGTAAGTGGGTGGGGGTATAGTATTCTTCAAAGCATCTACATTTACTGATGACATTATGAAATTGAAAAGGGTTGAAAATTCTGAAAAAGGATTTTTGAATAGATGTTTGTGGCAAAGTTTGTTGGAATCGGCTGAAAATTGATGTGGATGATGATCTTTACCCAGTTAACACGTGTGAAAGTTGGAGCCGATGACATTGTTGCTAGGTGTGAGTGACAAGTGAATTTTAGTAGTTGTGGCGACTATCAATAAAAAGTCATGACTAGTCGCGACTATGAGCATTGTTTATTTATCCAATAAAAAACCATGTCCGCGGTTGCATAACATAACATGGGGTTAACATGCTTAATTTTGGATGATGTCACACTGTGTGTTTCACTTTTTCACAGGATGATTGGACTTAAATGCTATCGTGAACGAACTATGAGGCTTTTTTAAGATAAAAACTTTTATCAGAAACGCTTGTAATATTCCTTCTTTGCTTCTGTGCTTACTTACTACAACTTTTTGGAAGGAAACCTTAATTGTTCTGCAATGTGATCAACAACTTTGCTGAGATGAAAAGCACATAGGGTTTAGGTCCGACTGGTGCCCGACCTGCGACATAGTGCTACGACTGCAACAGTGAAGGACAGGGACCAGTTTATGGCTGGGCTGCGTGCATGCACGTGCTGAATCGGGCTGTGGGCTTCCTTCAGTTGTCAAGTGTAATATTCGTAAACATGTCAAATAAACATTGATGGAGAAGGGAATTAGCGGCAGATTTACATGTAATCCATGAACATGATTTGATATTTTCTGTGTATGTATTCAATGTTATAATATCTTTATTTCAAGTTTGCACTGCTCTCACAATAGACGATACACTCAAATTTTCGAGAAATTTTATGTCTGACGTGGTTTTATGGTTTGCCCGTGTGGACTAGACTCATATACAGCAGGGGTGTGATTTGTCCGGATTTCCGGAATTTCTGTGAGACTATCCGGAATTTCTGTGAGACTCTCCGGATTTCTGTATTGTCAGTGCTTTCAATATGTAACGCAAAGACTACAATATTTGGTGCAAAACTAAGCAAAAAACTTGCACAAGTTTAGGTGTATAGCATGCGCTTTTACGTTGTTACTCCCCTGGAAATGCGCCAGATACATGCACATAATAATACATTGAACGGAGGAGGTATCATTATTAAAACATGGGGACCTGAGCTGGCAGTATAATCGTTTTTTGTATGTACTTTACGTTCTGTACATTCGCTGTGTGTGTATGCACGGTACACGTGTTGTCATTGCACGCACTGTGTACAACTTGCGTCAATCTGCCATTGCGTTTCGTTTCATTCTCGTCATGCTCGTGGGGAAGGGAATCTGAATGTAGACAAAGGATTAAAGAAGTCTTGGAAATTTTCCTGGCTTGAAACCGAGGTGTACAGAGAATTAACCAAGCATGCCAAGGGGAAATCGATATGTTATCATGACTTCCTCATGAATATCAACAAACCTGGGTACTGCAAGTACATGTGGTGTCGAAAGTAATGCAGCACTCATTTGTATGAGACAGTTTTCAGTTTTAATAAATTGTGATAGACTTTTGTGGATCACTGATAACTGCATGTGTGTGTATTACACTTTTAGGTCTTTGATTGTCACCAATTATAGCTAATTGCTATTGAAGTGAATGAGGACAAGGGTTTTGTTGCAGTAAATGTTACAATTGTATCCTTCAAAGTAAGAACAGCTCTTGTGGTGGCTTACATGTAGTACCAGAATCTCCTCCTATAATCAAGTAGATATGCCAGGAATTGTAGGGAAGCTGTGGCCGACGTGACTTGCAAAACCCTCTGACAAATGTTTCGTGAGTTTTTCATTTTCCCCAAATCACACCCCTGGTACAGTCCTGCCACACTTATTCTGAGCGACACACGCCATCGCAACTTCAGTTTTTTGTACATTTTTAAGAATCAATGGCTGCCAATATATTTTCACAAATGATCAGCGCAAGTTTTGTCACTTTTGAGTGTCCCCCTTTTGACGGCTTGCATCCCAAATGATACAGAATGGAGAAATGCAGAACATGGATTTATCTTACCCAATGCAACAGTACCTTCACTTTCATGGTGTTTTATGTAAAACATGTACATGTACATGTACATTGCATGCTTAAGCAGTGCACGTGAATAGTTCACTTGAATGCTAATGAGTTTCCAATCATGCATGATGCACGTCGACGGGTGAGGTGCGTCCTGGATGATAAGTTACGTTCACATGACTTGGACACTTTCGTTTTCTTCAACTGGAGGGATGAAGCTCTATTTTGTAGTGTGTGCAAACTGACTAGAGCCAAGCTTGGTGTATGTGGCACAGCGCTGCGTGGTTGGTGGGGCCTGGCGGGTACTCCACTGCGTAGTTATGGGCACGCACATGTACTGTAAAGTCGCGGGCGGCGACTTGTCAACTGTCCAGAAATTGATAGTCGTGACTACCAATACTTTTGGGTATTGGCGACTAGTCGACTAGTTGCACTAGTCGCACAGGCCTAGTCATCATACCAGAAGTTATAATAAAAAGTCCTTTTTTTCTTCCAAAATCAACCATGATAGATTTAAGCGTGAATTGTCCATAAGATGATAGCTATAACATTGAAGTCAACTGCATGAAGTGCCTAACTAATTTACTTTTTCACACAGCATAACCGCTGTCATAAAATCCCCTTTACAATATTTGCAAACTTGAAAGCCCATTCACATGCTGTGCATTGGCTACTCTGTGCATGGATTTGCAATATCTGCCTGTACATGCAACATAGGCAGTGCACAGAAACCTTGCAAATAGTTAGGAAGGGAAGGTTTATAAAGGAGATTGACCTCGTATGATGACAATGTCATCAGCAGACAAGTCATGTGACATTAAAGGTTCATCCTTTAAAGTACTCTTATTTCCTGAAGTGCATGTCAGATTGGCTTGAAACTTTGTAGGTATGTAGAAAGGGAAGTGTTCTAGATGAAACTGACATCATCAGATGATCATGTCATGTGACATTAAAGGTGCACTCTTCCAAGTGCTGTACCTCTTAAAGTTCATGTCTGATTGGGTTGAAACCTTGCTGACATCTTGGAAAGGAAGTGCTTTAGGCAAATATTGACCTCACGTGACGATAGCATCAAATGACACTTCTCAAACCCCTATATCCCGACAGTTATGCTCCATCGGGTCGAAACTTTGCAAATAACTACAGTACATTGGAATTCAAAGTTAACGTCAAAATGGGAAAATCTTTTCATATATTTTCTCTTCCCAGGGAATTCCTTTTCATTTCAAAAATTGTGAAAAACTGTGCCAAATGTGGGAAAAGATTTTCACAACTTTTCACACAAATGGGAAAACATTTTCACAGAACTTCCCACAAGTGGGAAAAAAAGGAAAAACATTTTCACACTTTTTCCCACAAGTGGGAAAAGATTTTCACAGATTTTCTCTCGTTGTGGGGAAATAATTTTGAAAGCTTTCTTCATTAAGTAGTATTTGTGCATGTACATGTAGACATCAGGAAGTTGTTTTTTCTGTGGTTTCAAACATGCACATCTCTGAATATGGAAAGCAGAGGATAATTAGTCTGAGACAAAAATATAATCTTTCATTCTAGAATTTCCAAAAGATTTGATTTTATTTACGCTTTGATTTTATTCTGTCACCGAAAGTCAAGTTTATATTTGAGTAATATAGAATTCAATAGGGTTAGGGGCCGTCCAAAGTTTTGAACATTAATTTTTACAATAGTACACAGAGTACTACTACTATTTTTCAAGGCCCCCTCCCCATTTTTTAAGATCTTGAAAAAACTGACGAGGTCCCGTAGGCACAACATTGCTGGAAATTACCACAACCCATAACCATATATCGGTAGATGTAGATGTAGATATAAGCATTTTGGGAAATCTTCCTGTCAAATGTGAAAAAAAGGTTTAAACATAGTATTTAAGATTATTCCCATTCCTGTTTATTCATCAATTGCAGAGTGAAAATTTTTCAAATCTTAAGATGTTTAATAAGCACATATGTCAGTCTCTATACTTGAATAATTTCACTTATTTCCCCATGCAAGAAGACAGCATGTAAAGAAATTAGGCATTAGCAAGATAGCTTAACTTTGGTTATGTATGGTCAGAGCAGTTTATTGGCGGATTGATAACTTTAAATAGCATGACATTTTCCGGTCGAAGGGAACCGCGAAAACTGATCTGTATGTATAGTCACTAAAGCTACTTATTTGTTTGTCATTGACATAATTAATCACAATGCATTTCCTGCCGCTAAATGATCTAAATGTATCTCAGTGTCATCTTTCCGGTCATACGTGACCCGCGAAACATCAAATAAAGCATAACTGTAGGAATATATTTCTGGTCCTACGCGACCCGCGAAATAATATCGATTATACTCCAAGTTGTTCCCGGTCATAAGCGACCCGCGCTACATCTAACTCACAACTGTACAAAAAAAATTTCCGGTTGTATGCAACCCAGGAAATAATACAGTTAACCAATTTTCCAACTTGTTTCCAGCCGTACGCGATCCGTAAAACCCAAAGCCAGCATCAACAATAACTTTGCCTCCAATCCAGTGGTTGCGATAGCAACACCAAAACAAATTAAGCAAGAGTCTCGGCATAACTGGAGGCGTGAATCATCTAATAATTATATTGCCGCCATTGTGCTCCCAGCAATCAAGTTACAAAATCATGGAGTTTTAGCATACTGAAATGATAAGACTAAGGCATATGACGGTGTTCTGAATGAAATTCCTCCAAACAGGCAGAGTGATTACTGCCAAAATAGCCTGAAGGCAAGCAACTGCGAAAATTAAGGAAAAAGCAACCAAAACTTTGCGGTGTGAATCTCAAGGTAATGGCATTTCAAGAAGTAAAATGAGAAATGGGCATAACTGTCAACACACTCTTAATGATCTGGAAAACGGCCTTCTTTGGGAGGGTCCCCAGGTCATTTGACCAGACATGAATTATGATATATTTGGGATTTTTTAACTGCTCGGATTCCCAGCACTAGTGTAAAAAGTCATTGAATTCATCCATGTGGAGGCCCCATTTCCTCAGCCATAGGATGGTTGCCACGTTGCTGAGGATTGCATGGAGGTATGCAGCTTGGCCCAACCAGTGCACGAAGGAGTCACCAACGATCCACACCAACGGCTTGTATACGGGTTGCACCATGGCTCATGAAAGAAAAAGAACACAAAAGAAACATACATGCAATAAATAAAGAATTAAATGATATAGGCCTATCGAGGTATAAGCTCGTTATTTAATTGTTTGTGACCTTCCTGAGCAAGGGCTGGGGTTATGCGAATGTAACGGCGATATACACTCAATTGCCAACAACCCATCCACTGCATTTCCTGCTCGGGAATGCCAGCCATCCCCGCTGATGTGGCTGCACCAATGCAAAAAGAGTGGGACGTGAAACGGGAATCGAGTATGCCTGCGAATGTAAGCGATCGCCTGAAAACTGCTGTAAATTGAGAGCAAGTCATCGGCGTACCATCAAAATGTGCTAGAAAATGGGTATGGTGTTGGGAGCTGTCATGCAAATATTGTGTGCAACTCTTTAAATAGCGCCTAAATCAGTCGCAAATGCGACCAAAATTTTGCTAATGCAATCATATTTTCACCATCCAGTCGCCATTTGCGACTTAAGATAGCTTAAAAACTACATACAAATGTATTTGAACAATTTTGAGTATGCTTAAAAATCAAAAAAGCAAAGTTCGTTCCGGAAAAGTAGAAATGGCAGCGCAAGTTGCATTGAGTCGCACCGAGTGCGCTGTACATATACATGTACATGTACATACACCATACTTGTACAGTATATGCGTCGCTATCACGCGCACGGTTAGGTTGCTGCCCGATATCAACATACGTTGTTGATGCACTGTATACGGACACCAGGGCCATTTTACAAACCACAGTAGTGCATGGGCTCCAGTTTTTGCTGCAACATAAATGAAACCTGAACGGAGCTCATGCCGGAATTACAGGGTGTTGCTGTGATTTAGAGTGTAAGAAATAGCGCAATTCATGCAGCAGGGTGTCGTGCGACACGCTGAAACTATGGACGTCATAACGTCCATGGCTGAACCATCATCAGGGGACAAGTCAAGTGACATTAAACGTGCAGTCTTTAAGGCCCTATATCTCCTGAAGCACATGTCCCATCGATTCCAAGTCTCGCAGATACCTTGAAAAAGGAGTGCTTTAGTTGAATATTGACCTCATGTGATGATGACGTCATCAGATTGGCCTGTTAGGGTATAGTGTTCCTGAAATTATCATACTGTGCATTGTGTGTGAATGCGCGATATTTGCCTGTAACATAGGCAGGGCATATACTCAGGAGTTGGGAAATGTCCTAAAAGCAGATCGCATTTTATGGAATGTCAAAAAGGAAAAATGTTTGCAATCTGTAATCTGCACTCTGTCCGTGATAACAATAATGTTTTGTATTGTATTTTGTGTTGTAGACGTCTGATTGGGTTGAAACCTTTCAGATAGATAGGAAGTTAAGGTTTATAAATGAAGATTGACCTCATGTGATGACAATGTCATCAGTTGACAAGTCACTTGACATGCGTCCTTTAAAATGCTCTATCTCCTGCAGTGCATACATGATTGGGTTGAAACTCGGCAGGTACATGTTTTTAGAAAGGGAAGTGTTATACATGTAGATGAAAATTGACGTCATGTAATGATGACGTCATCAGATGATCATGTCGCTTGGCATTAAAGGTGCACTCTTCAAAGCACTATATCTCGTGAAGTACATGTCCAATTGGGTTCAAACCTTGCAGATATCTTAGAAGCGGAGTGGTTTAGAAAAAAAAATTGACCTGATGTGATAATGTTGTCATCTTGTGACAAGTCACGTGAGATCAAAGGTGGATCCTTTAAAGTGATATATCCTCTAAAGTGCATGTCCGATTGGATTGAGACTCAGCAGGTATTTAGAAAGGGAAGTGTTATAGATGAAAATTGATGTCATGTAATGATGACGTCATCAGGTGATCATGTCACATGACATTAAAGATGCATTCTTCAAGCACTATATCATGGCCGATGGGGTTGAACCTTGCAGCACGTGAACAGGGAAGACTTCTTTTTAAGTTCATTAAACTGAGTATCTTCAACAGTTGTTTCAAAACCTCAAAATGCAAAAAAGCCTTGTGTTTGCCCCTCAGACAAACGTTCAGAGTTCTAGTTAATTTTTTTTCTTCTTTTTCAAATTTTTGCTATTGATATAACACAGGGTTGTTCTGCACACCACTTTCGATCCTTACTAGACTACCACCTGAGGATGTATGCTGAATCATGATGTCATCATGACGTTATCACCTGATTTATTATAAAATTTTGAATATTTAATTTTCTCCATATGTTTTGTATATGTTTTTCAACTACATGTACCGGAATGGCATGGACTTTGGCCACTCCCCAAAATGAAACTTGGCATAGATGCCATACAGCATAGATGGTCCCAGAGGAATGATATCACTTTGACATCATGAAATGATTTATCATTTAATTTTGAAGATTTAATTTGTCCCATTGACTTTGTACACATTTTTAATCCCATTGACTTTGTGCACGGACGTATTGCATTTCTATGTACAATCTGCTAGCTGACCTGTGCGATCGGTTGATCTTAACGTGGTTGCTCATTATAGTCTTTGATATTACATAATTTCTAGATAATTTGGCTTAAAGGTTGTGCAAGATTTTTTTTTAAATATAGAGGGAAATGAACTCAGAGATTTCATGTTGGGTCAGCCATGGAGGTAGGAAGACTGATTGTTAAAGCAGTACCCTACACAAATCGTCCACTGCACACAGCACAATGACCTTTCGTGGTCATGTCAACACATGGATATTTTCGACTGGCCTGTGTGTTTTTTTTAGACCTCTTGGGACATCCCAGAACTGAAATTTCACGAATTGAGTGCTTGTTGAACCACATTGCTTGATCAGAGGATTCCAAGGTTATTCCACAAAAGCGGAACTAAAATTAAATGCATGCACAGGAGCTGGAAATTGCAGAAGGAGTTGACACCGAATATGGAGTGGTAACGATCGTGAGCACTACTGGTATTGCAGCCATGGCGGTAGCAGAGGGTCATGACGGTAGTCTGGCGACCAGTTTGGTTTGGAAGCTGGATGAACTGTTGGAACTGGTAGGCAATTAACATTATGAAATGAAGTCTTTGTCTGCACTGTCTGTGTTCTGTAGCTCTGGGGAAACATAACTGACTTACCTTAGCTCTGAATTTGCATTAATATGATATTCTGAGTAACCTGAGTCACTCTACAATGGATACATCTGGATAGCAACTGCAGGTATTAATTTTACTCCCTCCTGAGTTCATTATTTAATGATGATATACACATGTATGTAGCTTTTATTTGAGGCAACAAATTTGTACAAGTTGTGTGATTGTGCTGAACAGATACCTGTGCGTCAGATAAAGGAAGCTGCTGCACAACTACAACCAAGCAAGGAAATTAACAGGTAATGCTGAAAAGGTCTTCTGTTGCATGTACTAACAGATTGCCAGTTCTACTTATTTCTGATAATTGCAGTCATAAAACATAGTTTGGCTGTGTGTGTGTGGGGGGGATACATCCATACATATGTCACCATCATAAATAGTTCCCTCATCAGCATCCACTTGCCCAGTCCCCTACTTTAACATTTATCCCCACATACTCCCCATTCAGAGAGAACCCAAGATTGTGATGCCACTGAATACATGTACATACTGTACATGTACACATTTCAGCAGGTCATGTGTCCAAGTGCTGACCCCAGTTTTCCTTACAATGAACACATGATTTGCTGTAATAGATTTTTTCCTTTTTTCGATGATACAGATGTTCATCAGTACAGACACCAGGGCAGTCTTCATACATGTTGGATGTCCCCAGTATCATTGATGGAAATGCAGTTTTAAGCAAGACTGATCCACAGAATGGTAAGAACAGCTTCAAAGTATTTGTCACAAGATTATTTGAAAAACTGCAACTGACATGTGTACATGTTGTACCTTGTGTAATTTGTTTAAGGACCACTGCAGAAATTGTTCAAAATGATTTCCGAAGAATAGTACAAATTTTTCGGCATTCATAAGATCCTGATATAACCCGTGGTTCACATTTCAAAATAGCAGGAACTAAATTTCATATTAATTTAATTCCCTTTTGAAAAAACTCTTGACTTCACACAATTCAGGATTTCAGATACAAAAAAGATTTTGCTTCATTGGAGGGAAACAGCCAAGCCAATCAATACAAGAAATACAAAGTAAATGCAAAGAACACCAATTCAGATGGCCACAAATTAAAATATGAGGTTTACAGAAAATGCAGGATACTGCTAAGTTACAATACACTTTGAGCTCAAGAATAAAAATTTGGTGCTAATGTTTAAGATATACAGATGAGTTGTGACGAGTCGTTCCAAGGTGGGATGACAGGAGTCCGTTGTGTTTGGTAGGCAGTTGGCAAAAGTGAAGGGCAGAGTTCAACTGAAGAAATGTAACGCAAACGAATACTTGTGGATCTTGCAAGGTTGATGCTGGTGATTAGTGCCGCAGATGCCTTGGTGTACGTGTGCTGTGTGTGCAAGTCACAATATACGTAGCTTGGTGGCTGAGAGGCCTGGGGACAGCTCTTCAGGTGGACTACAGAAACTCCTGTCTGGCACCCTCTTTCAGAACATGCAGTTCAGTAACTAAGATAGAGAGCATAGTGGTCCATGCCACATTACTAATATAACCACATTTACAAGGTCAGACCAATGCAACCGACTTTCTATGAGTTACATGCTTTAGTAGCTGTAAATCGTGTAGGAAACTTCAAATAAAATACCATCTTGCATGTAAGTTCAACATGTGAAGGAGAAATACATGTATATGAGGCATTGACCTAGAACAAATCTTAAAACTAGACAGGATTTCCCTAGGAATACATTTCTCAGTCCCACACATCATAAGGTAAGAATCAATCTAGGAAAGCTCCAACTCTTAATCAGACTGGTTATATATACAATTTAGGTATATTTAAAAAAAACAAATCTAAAGCTTGACCAAGAGACAATTCATATCTCTAACTTCTGATGAATTCAACGCATATCAGGATCTACCAAGTATACACAAACCCTGTTCAAATAAACAATAGTCGTCGGAAAAGCATTTCAAAAGCGTCAGTCCAAACTGTAGGACTGCAGGCAGTCTATCACTTACACCATGGATGTGATGGGTGATAAGTCCCGACTTACACATATATTCAAAATCTGCTCATATTTCTCAATGCAGTGAAGAGCACAACTTATTCCCAGTCTCCACTAAGTTATTAATCAAGGTGATTGAAAAGTACACTCAAACTGCCTCAATTAATTCACAAAACACATGTCCTAAGCTAAATGAAAAAGCAAAGCTTTCTGAGGGAACATCTCTTTTGGATCTAGTCTCAGAACAGTACTGGCTAGTGAAAACTACGAGATACATGTATCAAAACTTTCAACATCATAAATCTGCTTGGACTTCTCAAAAATATCCCAAAGTCCAGACTTCATATAATCGATTGGTAAACTTGTTTTCACAATTTACAACAAGAGTCACAGTGAAAAAATGCATTGACTAAACTCCAGAAAAGGTAGACAATAGTATAAAATGATATAAATAGGAACTCAAATTTACCTAAGATAGAGAGCCAACACTCGTGAACATAAGGGGAAGACTTGGATTTTGAAGTCCTCTGGTCCAAAGGAAAGTAGTGCAGAGTGTAGACAGAGTTCAGCAAGCATGTAGTCAGTACGATTGCAAAGATTGGAATGCCCAGCTTGCCAAAACTCTGGGCAAACTGCTCCCCAGAATGTGCTTTTGCCACGTGACTAGCTCAGGCTCTCATTGGACAACTTAAAAAGTGCCACACACGACTCCTATACTGATTGGTCATCTAGTATTTAGGCAGATGAGCACTCAGCAGAAGTTTATGGCTTTCACAGCTTGGAGTAAGGTGCGAACAACAACTAAGGATTAAGTATCCCAACATCCTGCTGATCTCCTATAAAGTTTACTGGGAGTGTACACTAGTGTACTAGTCAGAGTTTAAAGGCAGTGGATACAAAAAGCGTCCTGTGATCTTCTAGGAGAGCAGGAACATTAAAGACAAACTGAACAAAGAGCAGGATATTTGACAAAAGGAACAAACAGTAGATCAAAGGTTAACCACTGGAACACTGCTTACCAGTAGAAAAGTCAAAGCTCAGGAAAGAACAGTTTAATGTGCAAAAGGAAAACATAGTCATAAAGAATAAAATTTTAAATTGTAACCCAAGACCTCTTTTGGGATGGGGTCCCATCCTCCCCTTTCTTAACTTGCAAACTCCGGGAGCAAAAGGAAAAGAGAAAATAACGGAATAAGTACAAATACACGGACATACCCTATGACCAAAAACCTTTGTTTTGAATTCGGCAAACATCACATGAGTTTGAATTTGCCAGGAAAACACAGGTTCTTCTTTCACCTCAAACTTCATCCACAGGAGTGGTCTTGACACCTGAGTTGATCGTCCAACAGAACTCGACTCAAGAGTAGGAGTGTCAGTAACAGTCGGCTGAGTAGTTATTGGACTAGCAGCAGGTTTGCCTGATTGAGAATCATCAATTAATGGAGGAGGCACTCCATCAGGGATGTGCTGAGGAGGTTGTTTATTATTGTGAGGACTTGATGGAGAGGACACAAGTGCTGGTGAAGCGACAGGACTATCTGCTCTAGGCGCCTCTGTTGAATCTGTGTCAGGCAGGGAAAGATTCTATTACACTGGAGACGGCATTGAGGTTCCAGATGACTGTTTGATGTCATCCGGTCGGGATTTCCCCACAAGGAGATGAAGGCTGCTGAGAGGCTGAGTTTCCCTCAACACCACGAACTTCCTCAAAAGAAAGTGGACGACATTCTTGGGTTAAGCGTGGTTCACCCACTTGTGGTAGAGGGATAAACTCTTAGGCCTCTGCATTAAGCAAAGATTGCAACAGTTGTTTGGGGAGGATTACAACCAGCTCATCATCACTGGAATCTGGACTCCCAGATGAATCTGATGGACATTGTGAGACCTTTGCCTGAGCTGTGGCTCTCGTGACGGGACGACTTGGTTTGGTGCCTGGATGGTGGGACTCTTCGCCATTAAGATAGTGGATGGGCAACAAGATATTTCTGTTTAGGGTTCGGACATGCCCATCACCAGTCTCTGGTTTGATGCGTTAGACTGGCATATCTGGACTGATCTGGTCTACAACTTAGTGAACTGTCGAATCCCATTGATTGGCAATTTTGTGCTTTCCTTTCAGACCAAGATTTTTGACGAGAACCCGATCTCCAGGTGTCAAGTCATTTCCTCGTACATGTCCATCATGACGCACTTTGTTGGCATAAGCCGACTTAGCAGACTCTTTGGTTGCCAGGTGATATGCCCTCACCAGTTGTTCTCTGATGCCCTTGGCATATTGGACATGTTCGCTGTGGGAAAACCCATCGGGGTTCACACCGAGATGCAAATCCACTGGGAGTCTTGCCTCTCTGCCAAACATAAGGAAGTAAGGCGAGAAACTTGTGCTGTCATGCTTGGTGCAATTGTATGCATGGACCAATGCACTAACATACTTACTCCAGTTGGCTTTCTTCTCATCCTCTAAGGTTCCAAGCATATTCAGCAAAGTACAGTTGAAGCGCTCTGGCTGAGGATCACCTTGGGGATGGTAGGGCGTCGTACGTGATTTCTTGATGCCTAGAAGAAACGTCAACTCCTTTACAACCTTGCTTTCAAAATCACGCCCTTGGTTGGAGTGAAGACGTTGGGGCAATCCGTAGTGAACAAAGAAGTTCTCCCAGCTAAGACCTTAGCTACAGTGCGAGCTGTTTGATCCTTAGTGGGAAATGCCTGGGCATATCTAGTAAAGTGATCAGTCACTACCAAGATGGGCTTTTTGTTGTTACGGTCAGCCTCTAAGGATAGGAAACCCATTCAGACTAATTCCAAAGGACCATTTGTCTTGATGTTCTCTAGTGGTGCTGCAGGCTTTTGGGGTGTCTTTCTAGCCACACCGTGACATGGAGCGCAGTGTTTGACCCAGTTGTCAATTTCTGCTGCCATTCGAAGCCAGTAAAACCTATCTCGTGCAAGCGCCACTGTTCGCTCTACACCTAGATGTCCCAACTCATTGTGTAGCCCCCGGATAGCTTGAATACGGACTTTAGAGGGAAGTACAAGTTGAAAGCACTTATTGCCCAATGAGTTGGTGACACATCTGTACAACGTACCATTGGAAAGGGAAAGTTTGTCAATCTCCATGAGGATAAGTTTCACTTCGCCTGGTAGGCCTGTTTGCAAGTCTGATTTCCTGCCTGCTTGAACAGAGCTTATGGTTTGCTTGATGATTAGGTCCTCTCCTTGAATTTCTCTCCAGTTCATATTACTCATCTCTGAATTCAATGCATAGCATTCAGTAACAGCATTCGCACCTGTTGACAATGAATAAGTGGAACACTGACATCTGCCTGTCCATGAACTGACTGTGCTGAGGTTGTGGCACCATACTGATGGTATAGGGCATTCACAACTTCTTGAGGGCAGACAACATCATCCTTGCCCTCAAGTTGACTTTCCAGCTGGTTTACCTTGTCTCGCTGTGCCTCCTCAAACTGCAGATTGAGTGCAGGAGAATGGGGCCTGCGTGACAAAGCATCTGCATCAACATTGGTCCACCCTGGCTTATAGTGGATAGAAAAGTCAAAGTTTGACAATGTGGCCAACCAACGGTGGCCAGTGGCATCCAACTTGGCTGAAGAAAGAACATAGGTGGGGGGGTTATTGTCGGTCAACACTTTGGTTCCTTTACCGTGTACAAGTAATCACGGAATTTATCAGTGATAGCCAACTTCAGCGAAAGATACTCAAGTTTATGAGTGGGGTGGTTTTTCTCACTGTGTGATAACCCTCTACTACCATATGCAACAGGACGAAGTTTGCCATCATGCTCTTGATATAGAACCCCACCCAAACCATCACGACTGGCATCTATCTGCAACACAAATGGCTTGGGCAGATCTGCAAATGCAAGCACGGGAGCAGATACAAGACGATCCTTCAAAGTGAGGAATGCTTCCTCACACTCTTGTGTCCAAAGTTCATTCAATGGGTCCTCGGCCCTACTAGCATGAGGATCAGACTGAGATTTTGGTGCGGGCGGCCCCGTTTCTTAGGGTAGACACACCCAACAGTGAGGTCATTTAGAGGGCGGGCTATCTTAGAATAGTTCTCAATGAAACTGCAATAACGAAAAAAAAATCTTATTTTTTTTCATTTTCATTTGATTACAAGAGTCTGAATATCAAATAATATTTCAGAATTTTCTTTCAGTTTAAATGCAAATCACATGACATCATAAAGGAGCAGCTTTTTTGCATAGGTGTTTTCAGTCCATTTACTTGTACACATTTTCGAGCCAGTATTTGGAAACCTTTGCGATGTCTGATGGCTATGAAAGTGATATCGAACAAAGACCCTTGTCCAAAAATTCTTCAAAAGAAATGATGTCATGATGACATCAACATGTAATTTACTAGTGATTTTTCAATATTTATTTCAGCCCCTTGACTTTGTACACATTTTCAAGCCACCATTTAGGCAATTATCAGAGGTTTGATCAACATCAAAATTACATGCAACAAAGACCCTCGTGAAAGAATTTTCCTGAAGTATGACATCATGATGACGTCATCACCAAACAGAAAGCTCCGAAATAGCTCAGTGGTTGTTCACAACCATGTTCATCTCATTTTGGATTGTTTCTCCTGTGTGTTTGGTCTACGAACAAAAAAGATAAACATGTACTTATAGATTCTGTGTTCGCAAGTTCTCCATCGTTTATAACAATCTAAACAACATCAAAAACAATCAGTATACGGTAGTTACCATTATTTTGAAGTGTAAATTCTACAATCAGTTTTTCTTTATAACAGGAATTGCACGTCTTGACTTCCATGGTTTGGTGTCAGATTGCGTTTTAATATATGTCAATATTTTATATAGCTTTGTTAGTTCAGTCTGAGTATAAGTCTAGAGGAAAACCAGAGTGACGGTTTGGGTTGTGACTGTGTTTGGGTCTGTCTGCTCTGTCTGCTTGTTTGGGTCTGAATTTGGGTCTAACGCAAATAATAAGTCAAAGATTTCCAACTCTTCCAAGCTCAGTGCTTTGTAATTTACAAAATAGCTACATGTACATTCATAAGTCTTTACAATTGACACACTTTTTGCAATCAACAATCTTTACAGTTTTTGCAATCTTCATAGTCTTGGAAATTTTCACAGTCTTTACAATTGACACAATAGGTGCAATTTTTGCAATTCATGCAATCAAAACATGAAGTAGAAGTAAAACATTTGATACAATATAAACAAAATTCACAATGATCACATTTTTTACATTCACCACAAGATTTATTACAAAAATAACATAATTTACATTTACGTGTATTGATACGCCTACAATCAACACAGCCAATAGAACAAAAACCATCTATTATATTTGTGCATCTATAGCAGTCCTTACAAAAATTGCACATTTTGCAGTTTAAAACGTTATATAGCAGTTTTTCGGTTTTAGAGTTAGATCTGTTAGTTTGGTTTTATTTAGTTTCTGCATTCTGTTTATTTTTATTTTTTTGCAACATAACATTTTTTAAATTTTTAACAATCTAGAGAGCAAGAGAGGTGCATCAACATATAATTAACTTCATTCCTTTATGTCCACTATACTAGAACTCTGAAAAATAAGCTTTCACATGGATAGAGTTACCAGAGAAACACTGTACCAAATGAAAGGAAAAAAAATGATGGCTTTATTAATGAATGGATTTTCATACAGTGATCTGTATGATGTAACTTGGGACTTCTAGTCTATGACCAAATGTCTTCCTCTCCACACCAGAAACAGGGATACTCAACATACCATTGAGCCAAAATGGACGCTTCAAAATGTGTAAAGTCAGTCATCGAGATGTTACAATGTAGATACCATTGTGTAATGTCAGTTACCATGATGTAACATCAGTAATACATGTACATGTACGAAGAAAATAATGATAAATTGGCCTCATTCGTTCACCTGAAGGTTGCAGGCCATTAAATACTGGTAGGTCCAAAATTGCCTGCTGGACTGAATCAAAATTTAGAGGCTGTCAAATTCTCCGCTGTTGATGGAATGGAATCTACATGTACACGTACACTGTAGGAGCAGGACTTCCAGTTTGTACATGTATTTCTGAAAGTATTGAACCAAACAGGACCCTGCAAGTCGTTCTATTTTGCAAAAGAGTGTAGGCATCAATTTTCAAAATAGCAATGGGCCTTGTGACGGGTTTGAAAGGTGATTTTATCTGGAAAGCAGTATCTTCAAAAGTCATTGGTTATGCCACTGAAAATTGAAAGGAAAATGAAAGATGAGAAAGTGAACTTTAATATGATTTGGTTTTAAATGCGCTACACAAAGTCGATGCATCAGTTCCAGTATATTTACAACTTCCGATATTACTCTGTAATTTACAAGTATTTACAAAATGAAATGAGATGTCACTGTAATCAATGGTTCTTTCTGTTACGTACGCATTTAATTCTTATTAAAACCTGCTGTATAAGTTTTTCTCCTTATACATGTAGTTTAGAGAGAGAGTTTTGATTCTTTTAAACAAGCACTGACTTAAGAAATAATAAATACTGGGTAACTGAAAACAAGTAAATCCTTGTCATCCTCAATGCCTGACAAAGTACATGATGTTGTACGTTCAAAGGTTGAACACGGATGGTCTTCCTTCTAGCTTCCAGTGGGTAGCGGATACCGGACTTTACTCGAGTATGTCTACCGTAATAATACTGTTACATGTACATATCAGAAGCACGGCTACCCAAGATGAAGGAAGCTGTTTGACAACCAAGGAAGGAAAATAACAAGGTAATTAGTGGTCAGAAAGCCTGCTGTTGGTATTGACACACAAGAGATGGCCAGTTCTAATTAATGCAGTCATGAAGCAAAGAGCGAACGGGGACCCATGTATTTTTTTCACTGATCAACATCCATGTGTCCGGTCCCACACTGTTACATTCTTACTTTAGCCAAGTGATATCAAAGTGCTGAAATTTTGACATCTTTTTGCACAAGTATTTTCCCTTTTTTAGATGACACAGAAGAATGTCGACCAGCATATATGACGGAAGTGGTGACCCAAGTATCGTCGATGGAAATGCAATTCATATCAAGACTGTTCTACAAGACTTCATCAAATACCAAGATTACTTGAAACAACTGCAACCAACAGGACATGAGATATACATGTGTGTGTATGTGTACATGTCCCCTGTAATTTTTTCAAGATCACTGCAGAAATCGTGAATTCAGGCTGCAAAGCTATGCTATGCAAAGTTTTCAACATCACAAGATCCTGATCTTTTGAATGTGTTCCTGTGTTTTCCTGCATTCAAATACCCCTGCCCAGCCTACGTATGCAAATTTTCCATGTGCCTAATACAATTCGCTGAAAAGACTTGAATATGCATACTGCCCCTCGACCCTCCACAATGCACTGCGATCCCGCTGCCATGTTTGTCTATCTTTTCTCAGCGCCTGTCATTTACACACGTGTCTTTTATGGTATTTTCAGAGTTTCGAGTTCCGTACCTTTCGCATTTGTGAATTGACTTGATTTTTGTTAACGAATAAAGAGTGATTTCTTATCTATTGGCAAGAGTGCTTTTTTTCGTATTTTGTATCTCATATTTTGTTGTTCTTTTCTGCCCTTTTTTTTTCTGTGTATTATCTACAGGGTTAGGTGTGACCTACCTTAGTGTGTTGTGTATGGCCTTTGACCAGGGCTTGTGGTGTGCACATTCGAATAATAATGACCCAACGCTATATGGGTCCTTTGTGATGTGGTTTGCATTATCTGATTAACGGCCTTGACGGGGAGAGACCCTGTGGAGTGAATAGGACGGGGTTGAGTGTGCTGTGCCACAACACTGCCCTGGACCTTTATCTACATGATCGCGTTGAGCATGCTATGCCACAACAATACCATGATCACTGAAGACCACTACCGGAATTGATCAGGCTGAGCGTGCTGTGCCACAACGCTGCCCTTGTTCACTGATGATTGCTCCAGGCATCTTCAGATCAGGTCTAGCATGTTGTCCCGCAACACTACCCTTGGTAGAATGATGGGCAGTTCCTTCTCTATGCTGTGGGTACCGGGCATCAGTACCTACCATATTCCCGGGCACCCTAATGACCGATGACCCAGGGAGGCTCGCAGGGCGACGGTCTTCCGTCTGCCTCAGGTCCCTCACAGGCTTTTCCTGCCGATTGGCGTCTGCTAGGAAGCCGGGCCAGCCAACTCTCTCCAAGCGGGCAATGGTTTCCACAGCGGGTTCGCAACACTCCACTGCTACTGCCATGGATGAGTCTGCAATTCTGCAGGGTGCTTAGCCTCGTTTTGAATCAGACAATGTCGTCCCCTTTGGACTGCTACACCGCCAGGGCTTTTGTCCACCACATTCCATCCGCAGCTCCGGTCTGCCGATGGACTTCTGTCTTGAGGCCACCGATCCTGACCTGGGATGCTCCTTGCATGATATGACCGTCCATTCAGTGGACCCCCCGCCCGGCTGTTCCTCCAACCGTCCCGGCCTTCAGCTCCCCCGCTGGGGTAAAGTCTAAGAAGCACAAGGCCAAGTCGTCTTCTTCATCTTCCTCATCCAAGGCTAAGAAGAAATGCTGAAGTCTGATTTGTATCACCCTTTAGGAGGCATTCACCTCTCTCTCCTGCAAAATAGACTCCAAGCCTCAACCAGTGGCAGCTGACGCAGATCCCCTCCCGGCTGTCCCTCCTCCCTTGCAAGGGGCATTCTCGGAGGTCGAAGTGGTTTCTGTCATCCAGCCAGAACCGCTTCCCCAACGGGACCCAACTCCGGATCATGTCCCGGATCATGGTGACTCTCTTCATTCAGCACACTGTTCGGACTCTCTTCCACGGGCCTTCAACCTGTCTGTTCGGAGGATGACAACATTGACTCTATTGCTGGCCTGACCCAATTTGAGGGTCCCCTCCGCCTTCTTGAGCGTGACATGATCCACGTTCTTGGACTACCGTCGTTCGACCCAATACTTGCAGAGCAAGCACTCACTTCATTCAAGCATCACTATGGTGCTTCCGTCACAGCTCCCCGGCGGCTCAGCCTGCTTCAGTCGACCACGACCTGCATTTTGGACATCCTGTTGACGCCATAGGTCTTCAGGTTCTTCCTTCGGCTGGTGATCCGGCTGTTCCACAGCCGGATCACCAGCACATAAAAAGTGTGCACACTAATCGTCATCTTCGGAATTCAAATTCAAAATCTCTCTCTGCACCTAAGCAAGATACATGTATTTCTTCTTCTAATTTGTTGAAGGTGGTCCATTCCCTTGGAAACGCTGTCCATAATAGTCAGCTGCCTCGAGTCAACCTCAACTCCACCAGCGACTGCTCCTGACTTAAATCCCCTGTGTGAGGATCTCCATCTGGATCCTCACCTAGATTTGTAACCGATTTCTAGCTTCATTTCCAGCTTCACAGCCGGCTCTGTCAGTCCATCCAATACACGAACACCCATTCATTTTATTTTTTGCACTTAACAAATTCATTCAATAACAATTCTTTAACCTATCTGGGTTCAACTGCACTGTGGAAAGGTTGTCAACTTTGATTGATATTTTACCCAGTGTTGGTGTAAATGTCAACTTCCCAACCTTGTGCAAATTCTTCCCAATCGTTTGTCAATGTTTGACCAACATTGATGGAATTAACCAATAACATGGCAACTTGTATGCCAAGCACTGTTTAACCAATTCTTTTTCTTTACAGTGTGGTGATGTTTATTATCCAGGCCTATCCAGGCCTTTTTGGGGCTTGCGGGCATTACATGTACATGTTTAAGCTACCGGACCACCTTACGTCATTTGCTCGTACGGCCCCTGTATATGTATACTAGTGAATGCGAGTCTGAGTCACACATGCTTAACCGTGACCATGACCCGAACAATAGCTCATAGGCCTACCACTACACTACGCATCAGACCGCCGGCTAGCACTCAAGACTCCCTTGCCGGGGGCCAGCTGGGCGGGAAACAGAGAAATCTGCTACATGGGCATCTCTCTACCATTCTCTGGAGCTATCCTGGTGAATAAAACGCTAAGCGATCAGCCTACTACGTGTGTTTTATATTTTCCCCCACCAGTTTTTTGGTCATTTATGCCTGCAGTAGATGTCAACGCCTTACCCGCAGACCCAGTGCGCCGTCGAGCCCTTCAACGTCTGAAACTTCGTCATCGGGCACTTAGGTGTGGTAACAATAAACCACGATCTCCAAACAGACTCCCCTCTATTTCTGACTGGTGATCACCCCATTCAAGTCAGCATCCACGCCTCGGGTGTTGGAGTTCACCAAAATTCTCATTGTTGCAAATTCTACACGCTCCTTTCATCTGATAATTCTGGGATCTCCATATATCTCTGTTCGGCCTGGCTACGCCACACATACTATCCCAACATGAGTTCCTTTGTAGTGGGCATGTCCAAAGTGTGTATACTGAAGGTAACAAGGTCTGGCAAAAGGGCCCCCTACTGTTGGCGCCCATTTTTTTAATGGCGTGCCATAGTTGCTCTTCGACTGCGCCCGGCGCAATCAAAAGAAAGTGGCGTACTCGGCAAGGTTTTTGTCAATGTCACCATATTACCTGCTCATGCTCTTTGTGCTAGTGAGTAAATGGAAATATTACAACACTTGGATGCTGAATGAAATAGGATATCTTGATTCCCAATCATGGAGTGACTTCGGTCTTCGGATGCTCCTTACCTGCAGTTTTACTATTTTTGCAATGCAAAAAGGCTCATTATTCACTTCCTAGTGAGTATCTCAGCCTCTTTTTGCATATAGGCCAGCCCTACTTTCGTCCCTCCTAGTTTAGATGTGACCGTGATGGCAGATGCCATTACCAGCACACTGTCGTAAAAGTTGGTACCTTAATCCTGCCCTAACTTATTCTTTATACTGGCTTTTGCGG